TCCTCGCGGCGGTTTTCCCGCAAAACGTCATGGTCGTCAATGGGTTAACATCCAAACATATCCAGTATTCGCTAATAACACTAATAATACAGTAATACACACCTGTTGCGCCAGTCCATGCCAAAGCTGGATATAGACCTCGAGCTTTATCGATAGCTGCTTTGCCAACGTCAGGTTTCGTGCCGTCTGTAGGACGAAGATACTGACGGTAGTACAGCATCAACGAGCGATGGCCAATTTTTGCCCCTGGAACGGAGGAATCAGCAGTAACATCTATGGGCATTTATTAAATATACTTTAGCTATTACAAACAGTTAGTTTGACATGGCTCAAAGTCTCTCACTAGCTAGATACAAATAAAGTAAAGTAGGTGGAGCATTTCACGGATGTCCTACGGGGAAAAGCTTGCTATTCCAATTGGCCATTTTGTTTACTTGTTTATTTGGCCATGTGTTGAAATCTTGATTCCGCATAAACAAGATCATGGTTCGACAGTCAATTAAGATAAGAAATTTCCAGAGCTAATCCTATTATTGATTGAATGCTGTTGAACGCGCAGGGTGGGAAATGGGGAGTAGACTATACCAAAGAGAGTTTAAACGTGCAGATTGAAATAAGCAACTATCAGAGAATACAGATCGAAGCTATAAAAATTCTAGTAAGAGGCTACAAATGGATTCCAACAGCAAGCTGTGCTACTCACAGAGGCACTGTACCCAAATGTCAGTTATTGCCCGTATCAAAATGGTTGAAATCTGATATGTGCAATCAAAAAGTGCTGGAACTTACCAGATGGAAGCGTTAAAGTCCACCCATCATCGTAAAATGAATCCGATGAAGCACCGTCCTTGTCATTCTCGTACATCGGACTGCAATAGGATACCTTAATTCAAAAAAAACCTAGTTGACGATTCTCTAGAAAGTTTGAACCAGTCGAATGAAAAAACAAAAGGAAAAGGAAAATGAGAAAAAAAGAAAGGGTGGAAATGCATTTCTGAGAACATAATCACACCAGTAATGAATCGAAGCTGTCTGAATAACTATCAATGAATTACAGAAGAAGAAGCTTACCTGTAATCGTAGTATTCAGCAAACTCCAACATGCCTTCAGGTTCACGATTAACTTTACAGTGCTGCTTATCACGCATATGTGCTTGACATGCAGTCGTGGTCGCAAAGCGACTCCGAATATCTGGACAGAAGATGCAACAACGCCCAGCTCCTACTTTTAGTCCTGGAATTGAGCAGAATAATTATTAGCAAAGTTGAAGATGAGGGGAAAGATGTCCAAGTAGACAGAGCAGATTTATCCACATCAGAAAAGAAGCCCCCTCCAAAACTCACCTAAATATTTAAGCATACCCTCTTCATCGACTAAGTATTTTCTATCAGGTAAAACAAATCCGTGATGGAATCTCATATGCTCTGCTGCTTCTTCTTTTGAAGGCGTCGACTGAGGACAGAACAAGCACGAAGTGATAGGAATTGCCTGTAATATAAGAACTCGGGGCAGGTACAAAACATCAAGTACAGTTTTGTAACTGGATGATGAGCTGTTACTTCAAAAAGAACCTGGCTTTCATCAAAGTCGAGCTCTTCATCTTCTTCCTCCGAACCATGATCTGTCACCCATCCTGAGCTGCTGTCATCCTCGTCCTCCTCCTCCACATTTTCCATATGCTCATCTTCTCCTTCGGCTTCAGTCGAAGGGACAGGCTGCTGTGAATCTTTCTGAAACTTTGTCAGCTTTGGATAGGAAAAGTTCTTTGTAGACAGCAAAGATTAAAGATATAAAATAATACCTTAACGTCTTACTTGACTGTCCTCTAGGGTAGTCTAACAGACACAGATGCACGAGTAGTCAAAGGCAAATCAATGCACGAGCAAAGAAATGCACCCAGGTGGAGGTAGGAAGTCGATTACCCGGCTCTAGCCAACCATGGTGTGGTGGTGCCCATGCAATGTACCGCACGAATCCTTGGGGGTAGCCTAACGAGGGATGCACGGTTCTTCCACTTGGGTAGCAATCTAACTCAAAGCGAAGGTTTCCTGAAGCAAACACTGGGAATATGAAACCATGGTTTGGTCTTAAAGCCCATGGCAGTCGAAACTTCATGACCGTGAAATTGGATTGCAGAGTTGGAACTGCTTAACAAGCTCTCGGCGCTTGATTTTCTGCGATTCGTTCCGATTGGATTCCTTTTGATTCGCTCTCAACTATACTTCACCACAAGAAAAATCCAATGAACACCTTACTATCGCTTTCCCACCAATACCTGCCGCCTACTGTCCTCAACTCGGTTCTATCCCTCGTTGTCTAGTATGTTCATACGTAAGCAACTTCAGAAGAAGGGGCTCAAATTCTAAATGACTTAAACGCTCATATGACATGGTAGTGAGCTCGTCCTTCTTCTCAAAACTGCAGAGAAAGAAAATGACTTCAAAAAAAA